TCGATTCGGGATGGTGTCGAGGTTGGGTAAGAAGAACAGTAAAGAACAGAAAATAAACAAAGATGAACAGTAATAGATAGTAGGTGAAATAGAGAGTAACGTTTTTGTATATGTTTTTCAGTGAATCCATCCCCCTATAAATGAATGGGGTCCCTCTTTATATATTAGAGGAATCCTAAATAAGGTACAATTCTAATAACGAAAACAAATCCCATGATTGGCCTCAATAACCGTTTGATTCGATCTGTTCTGGGATTTCCGCCGAGATCTTCGGTCGGTTGCTAATATTTCGTCATTCCGTTATTATGCCTTACTCGAAGTCGGTCATGCTCAGTCTCGATCTTCAGCAAGCACTTCGATTTTCATGCTCCATACTCTGCCATTGAGCTCGAGCCTGGTCTATTACGAACTTACTCTCGAGGCAGCTCCTAGTGCCTTTGAAATCTGACATGCCCAATTTCGATCGTATACACTAGTATAATCTTACAAGTAAGGTCGAAAAAATATAATGTATAAGTAGACCTTATCCGTATCTATTTCCGATAGACCTCGGAGAAATATACAAATACTTTAATGGTTTTAAATGCCTTTCGATCACTTGATATTTTATCGTAGAAAACTAGTCGGTTTGCTTCTCAAACGCGGTGAAAAATTCATAAACTCCTATTAAAGTAGGAGTTGGAGTCAGAAAAGGGAGTAACTATTAAGTCACATCGAATAATGAACCCTACGGCTGAGTTGATATTTACAACAATACTTAGTAGTACTTCAATTCAATTACTACTTGAAAACATTCCTGGACTTGGTCATTAAATACTCTGTGAAGTGGACAGTTAGACAATTATAATCCCTCTATATATATATAGTAATGACTAGCATTCAATAAGATCCACTAATATATAAATTTTTGTTTTATGTTTTATATATATTTATTATTCCCATAATATAGGCATATATAATTCATTATTTTACTTAATAAATTAACCAAAATGCTCAAGATAATTATAAAGAAAAACAACTAGCTTACCTGCGATCTGATATGACACATGGAGTGGCAGCAGAAATAGAGACATAAGTTGTGTGTGCCAATGCTCTAAAAATGCAAGTAATAATTAGGTAACTTTATTACTTTTAATTAGTAATTTGAAATAAATAGTAAGTAATCGATTTGTTATAATTGGTTAAACTATACTGATTTATGAGAACAAGTCAAATAACTACTTCCCTTGACATTTTACTTTTTTTTTTTTTTTTTTTTTTTGACATTTTACTTTAGGAAATAAATATAGGCGGATTAAGAAGTTTTAGAGGCAATATTAAGGTTTCGAATTGATATGAATACGGTGTGATTCTCTCTCATTTTCATATCATTCAAAAAAAAATTAAATCACGAATCAGTGAATTAATTTAAACATCAAGCTTATAATTGTATGGGTCAAAATTCATCTTTAGTCAAAATGGTATTAGTAAAATATCCCTTGGATGCCATGCATCGAAGTAATCTAATTATCAGCGAGTGCCGCAGTCGAAGAGTCAGCAAGTCTGAAGTCGAGGAATTGTCATCGAGGCCGAGGTCGGGCACCCTTAACAGAGCAGTAACGACTAGTTTCGAGATAGGATACAAATCAAAATATTCTAGTGAATATTCTCTACACTTGTACTATTAGGGTTTTTGGGAACATGTTCCCTATAAATAGAAATAGACACAATGATAAGGGACATGCAATATTCATTTGCAAAAATATACTTGGACTTGAGAAAGAGAATCGGATCTCGTTACAAATATACAAACATCACATTTTCACTAAGATTCTTGTCTAAACTTTTCCACTAGATCCGAGAATAACTCAAATATTCAAAGGATTGTCCATCATTCACCATTATCAGAAGGAACATTCACTGATTTCATCCTTTCTTGGTGCCTCATTTATTCTATTTACTTAAATGTCATTTATTGGTATACATTAATATTGAATGCTACATTATTATCTTTGATTTTTGGAATACTTCGTCATCACCCAAATATATCTCCATAATATTTAGTGTACTTTTGAGAATTCCATCTCAAGGATATTATTGTTAGCTAAAATTAACCTTCATTTATATAAGTTTAATTATTTGAACCAAGATCTATATTTTTTGGTCAAACAATAATTATCCTAACCTTAGATACTAAAAAAACAAAGCACATCATTAACTAAGGTTGTTGCTTACTTTGGGATCCATTTCAGAAGTGAAGTTAATCAAAAGAAGAAGTGGACTTCTAGAAACAAAGCTTAAAAAACGGAGAAGGCCACAAAGAAAAAAACAAATTCAAAAGTACTCGCTCCGGAATATAATAAGTGATTTTTTTGCCTTTTTATTTTGGTCCAAAATAAGTGTCAATTTACATAATCAAGAAGAATTAATTTTATTTTTTCAAAATTTTTTCTTATTTACATATGTAAATGTAACAATATGCAAATTTTAATTCCAATACGTCAAGGTAACAATATGCAAATTTTAATTAAAGGTAATTTAGTGAATGCACATTTTTTTCTCTTGAAGTTCGTGTTTTAAAGAGGTGTGCTAAAGGCTAAAAAGTCACTTATCATGGATCAAAAAGAGTATAGCTAAAAGTTTAAAACTAAAAAAATAACTCAAATTGGCTTTTCCTCAACATGGAATTTAAAGTTCTTTTTTTCTTCGGTCGGTCAAAATCATGCATTAAGATCATTTGCCCTTCAATTTCTTTTTCCTTTTTTTCCTTTTTAGTAATGAAGAAAATGTTACAAATGCATCTTATAGTATTTTTTATCTTGCTACTATGATAGAATATTATTCATGTAGAATGTCATAACACACTATGTCTTTGTTTTATTTTTTGGGTGTTAATTTGCTTTCCTAGATCGAACTATAGGCTATACCAAATGAAATATTTCATTTCCAACTTTTTAAAAAAAAATACTACTTCTTGTAGTGGTGGAGATGAATATATAGAAGGGGGTCCAATTGAATCTTATTCGTTGCAAACTTTTAATTAGTGTAGAGTTAAATTAGTTCAAGAATTATTTTAAATTACAAATTCAAATCTCAACTGTTATATTCTTGTTTTTCTTTGAATTATGTGATTAGAATTCATGGTTTCACTACCGAGAGGCTTCCTTAAGCAAAAAAGAGGGAACAAAAGTCACTGTTTCATCAACCATTTAATAAGTAACTGAATGATCCTTCAAAAAAATAAGATGGAGTAAATAAGTATTAAGTATTTGGCAAATAAATTCCTATAAGTAGTTGAATAGGAAAAAGATGAAACTAAGAAGTCTTGAATGAGGTTGGTGAAAGAGATGTGAGATTGAACACCATTTGGCGAACCTGAACTGAACTTAGGTGTTGGTGATGAGCTTAATTAAAATCAGTGGTCACAACTTACACCTTGGCCAATGTGTACAAAATTGGGATCTTTACGTAAATAGTCCATCAAAATTATTGTTCATTTTTCCTAACTGATACACATAAGTTATACGTATATTATTATACATAAATTACACATATTTTAAACGTTCGGTGACCATATTACTCTGAGCAGTTATTTATTTTAATTCTCCAAAAAATAAATCTAGTTCATACAATAGGGCTTGGACCGTCTTAGGAGGCTCTTTGTTATAGCATTTTGAAGTGCGAGTTGGCAAATAGCACGGGCTAGCTAATTTTTGGAATGGTAATTGAAAAATAGCTAGCGTTTGCAAACTCATTGAAAAATAGCCACTATTTTGCTGCAACACGGAAAGTTCCAGCATAATATACTGGAGATTGATACATCTGTGTATGAACTTCTAACATATTATGCTGGAACTCCAACACACGGAAAGTTCCAGCATAATATACTGGACATTGGAGCACCTGTGTATGAACTTCCAGCATATTATGTTGGACCAGTATATTTGCTGGAAGTCCAGTTTATTATACTGGAACTCCAGTATATTATGTTGGAGTATTTTTCGGATTTTGAACAGTATTTCAGATTTATTTTTACATGAAAAATGACTAAATTTTGATTACTTTTGAAAATGTGACTATTTTTCAATTATCACTTGTAAATATGATTATTGTTTTAATTTCACCCGTGTACACATTAAACGGCCCAAGGCCTAATATGGCTCTGGGATTAAGTTTTGTTTTTTTTTAGGAAATTTTGTAGGGATTTTTTAGAAAAGGGAATAAATGTGTAGTACGTACATATCAGCCTTTCGTTAAAAGCAACTTTGGGTTGTTTCAACCTACGCAGTGTGACTATTTGACAAAATCCTGCCTCAAAGTCAAAGATTTGCAGCGAGTAGAAAAGTTTTGTTTTGAAAAGTCAAATTATCTTCACAATAATTACTCATGATCATAACTTATATTCGGCAATAGATCTAATTAATCGAAATACATCAGTTCAAGGAGTTTCTCTGTTATAATTAACAAACATTAGGAGCATAATTAAGAGCCATGTTCATTAGAGAGGGGGCTTTTGTTACCCTCCTCCATACTCACAAAAAATAAAATAAAATAAAATCAATAGAGATATGGGGCTAAAGAATTTGATATTACTTTATCTAATGTATGGTTTGTATTTTTAAACATGTACGACTAATTCTCATTAAATTAAACACGAACAAATTTTGTACGAATTATAACTTTTTCGGCCTGGATGCTTCAAGAGTGAAGATTTCCATTACAGTATCTTGAAATTCATAACTTATAAAGTTCACTACTATGGTGCACATACTAATATATACAAAAGTAACTTTCTTCCTCTCCTACGATTCTCCTTATATTCGACGATGACAAGCATATTTTATCAATCTACGAAAAGTTAAAAGAGAAAAGGAAACATAATTCCTCGGATAGAAGTTCATTATAGTAGTTTTTCCATATAATAGATAGATAGATAGATAACTTGAGAAGTGGAGAAACTGTATTTTAAAAAGATTTGTCGGAAGTCGTTGGTTGAATTGGTTCGACCAAGAAAGGCATATTCAAAATTGATCAGGCCATAAAAATGCACCCATAGCAAATGTTCTTTTCTCGTCCAAAGTCCCATTAAAATTCAAGAAACCATATTGCTTGAGAAGAATGTCTAATTTCCATTCTTCCATCTTCTCATAATCTCCCTTCTTGTAACGTGGATAATGAAGTGGCATCTGAAATCCTTCTGACAATGAAGATGAAGCACAAACTTCACTATGATCGTCTTCTTTTTTCATCTTAATCTTCTGTATTTTCTCAGTTTCTTGACTTGAAATTTGGTTCCCATATCCTAAAACTAGAGTGCATGCAGATTGGAAAAATCGGCTCAAAGTGGCCATTTTTTGAAAATTTGAGCATATGGAATGATCATGGTTGAGATTAAATAGACGAATGTATCATTAATTTAAGCAATAAATTCCAGGATATATAATATTATATTATTATTTTGAACAATTGGAATCCCGTACGATACTCAAAAGGAAGAAAAAAAAAAATTATGTTGTGCTATTTAGAATTAGTAATATTGTTACCTGCCACATATCAATGATTAATGATATTGGTAATGTAAGGACATTTTATTTATAGAAAATTGTTATCAGTCACTTTCTATAGAAGAAATGACTACAGTATTAAATTCTATTTAATTGCGTAATGTTGGAAACAGATTCAATGATTGTTATACCTAGTTGAGTACTTAAATAACAAGTTAGAGTAACTTAATTAATATTGATTGATTGAGTGTTGTAAGTTCATGCTAGTTTAAAGAAACATGTCAAGAAACTTGTTGATTAATTATTAGTATCATTTTCAAATACTTTCTCGGATCAATAATAGAGGTGAAGAAAGAAATTCAAAAGAACAGCTAAGCTAGTTACTCAAAAGATAATATAATACGAAAATGCTTCAGCAAATGAAATTGGATCCTTTATCTATTACTTTGTTGAGATCGCTTCAATCCTTAAGCTAAGAATGCTTTATTTCTTAATTACTCCATTATCGATACTCCCTCCGTCCTACGTTTCATATCTCGATTCAAACTGAATAGAATTTGACCAATATTTTAAAATATATTATCCGTTATATTAACATGAAAAAGAAATGTAACACATAGTACTTTTTATATAATTTTTAAATATACAACAACAAGCCAGTGTAATTCTATAAGTGGGATCTGTGAGGATAATGTTTACGCAGACCCTACCCCTACCTTATAAAGATAGAGAGTGATTTTTTTTAAATATTTTAATTTTAATATTAAAATATTAAATTGATCTAATCCAATTTTGTTTCTAAGATTAGTCAAATTAAATAGGGAAACATGACAACTAAGAAAGGATGGGGAGAGTATATATTTTTTGCTAAGGGATCTTCTGGTGGCAGTTGTAGATTGCAGATTTTAGAAAAGAGGTGCAACCAATTAAACAAAATTTAACAAAGTTATAGAGGGAGAGAGAGAGAGAGCAAGCCGGTATTGTTAAAGGATATCTTTATATTTTATAAAGTTAATTTTCTACGTTTAAGAACATTATAATTAAGTCCATTGATATAAGGAAAAGTTCATATATAGTGTTAAAACAAATATAGGTAGCTAGTGGATTTATGGGCTTGTTCTAACACGTACTTGTCATTCAAAGGGTTATATTATATATATGTTCTTTCCTTTTTCAGGGAGTAATGAGGAGGAAGAAGATATGGAGATCAAATATGAGTAATTATAGCTTCTGCCTCCATTTTTTCAGTAATTAGCTGTGACTATACTGACCACCTTTCATTTCACTGCATGCATCCTACATATATGTATATATATAATATCTAGGGATCTAATAATAAATTGCCTTTAATTAATAGTAGTAGTAATAGAAGTTATTGCATTTCAAGAGAGGCTATATAAGCACCACATCCACCTTTTCGGTCTTCTTGGCAAACAGATGCGTCATTCAAACGATTCTTGATAAAAAGCATCATGCCCTCATGAGTTTAAAGTCGTAGAAAATTAGCCTCACAAAGCAAAGGTCCTCCAAAGTATAACAACCCTTATAAATTAGGTAACATCATCTCCATTGGGAATCCGAATTGGTTGAACACGAAAAACAAAGTTGCCTAACATTGGAACCAAGCTTGAAAGAACAGACTCTCCAACAATGTACAATAAAAGTAAACTAACCTTAGTCTACTATTAACATATTATACACAAACAAAATAATTAGTCGATTCTTACTTCTATGTAGAGGCTCAGAATACGAGGGAAAACATCCTTAACGGGATACTTAAAGATTTTTATAACTTGTTGGTCAAAAGTAGTTAATAATACAATTTCTTTGCTAGCATCAACTACTTCAAAAGTCAAAGAGCATCTGCAATCAATAAAATGAGAACTTAAAATACAACCAATCTAACCACAAAAATCAGAGACCACAAATATATTTTTATACATACCTAACTGTAGCATAATCTTGCCCAATGCAGAGAGGACACCTAAAGCTCTTCGACTCTCGAATGGTAACAATACCATTACTTGTTTCACATGTAGCGTAAAACACACAAGCCTTAATGCTATGAATGTCAGCCTCTAGTAAGAATGCGACAGGCTGAACGGGAAAAAAGCAGCAACATATTCATAAACGTTGAGATCTAAGAAAGAAGGCTTGAAGAACACACCACACAAATATAACGAAACTAAAAAAATATAAGCAAAGACACATATGCAATTGTTGCAAAAGACATCAACCAACAAAACATATTCATGCACAATACAAAAGACTAAACAACAAGGTAAACCTTATTAAATATTTCAGACCCAAAAATAACATTCAACAACACAAACTTATTTTCTGCACTAACTCAAACAAAGACATTAGACAGAGAGCAATAAACTAAAGCAAGAAAGCTAAGATAATAACAAAAACTTTGAAAGTATTCATCTATTACTCTTATCCATGACACAAATTTTTACTTCATGGTGATCCAAAAACGTATCAGAAACCAAAGAGAAAATAGTGCTCTTAGTTGCAATTTTTAGTTCTTCAAGTTTCCTATAAGAAAAATTGATCACCACAAATTTTCTAGGTAAAAATGCTTAAATCAGAAATAATTAAATAAAAAAGACAGGTCACATTTATATACCTTTCAAGAAAGGCTATATAAACCCCACATTCACATTTTCGGTCTTCTTGGCAAACAGATGTCTCCTTCAAACGATTCTTGATAAAAAGCATCTCGTCCTCATGAGGTTGAAGTCCTAGAAAATTAGCCTTACAATGCAAAGGTCCTCCAAAGTACAACAACCCGTATAAATTAGGTAACATCATCTCCATTGGGAATCAGAATTGGTTGAACACAAAAAACAAAGCTTCCCAACATTGGAACCAAGCTTGGGAGAACCACTTGGAAGAAGAGACTCCGCACCACTCTACAACAAAAGTAAACTAACCTTAATATACTATTAACACATTATACACAGACAAAATAATTAGTCAATTCTTACTTCTGCGTAAAGACTCAGAATACGATGGAAAACATCCTCAACGGGATACGTAAAGATTCTCCCAACTTGTTGGTCAAAAACAGTTAATAATATCATTTCCTTGCTAGCATCAACTACTTCAAAAGTCAAAGAGCATCTGCAATCAATAAAATGGGAACTTAAAATACAACCAATCTAACCATAAAAAATTAGAGACCACAAATATATTTTTATACATACCTAACTGTAGCATAATCTTGCCCAATGCAGAGAGCACACCTAAAGCTCTTTGACTCTCGAATGGTAACCATACCATTATTTGTTTCATATGTAACGTAAAACACAAAATCTTTAATGCTATGAATGCCAGCCTCCAGCAAGAATGTGACAGGCTGAACAGGGAAAAAGTAGCAACATATTTATAAATGTTGAGATCTAAGAAAGAAGGCTTGAAGAACACATTATACAAACATAACGAAACCAAAATAATATAAGCAAAGACAAATATGCTATTGTTGCAAAAGACATCAACCAACAAAACACATTCATGCACAATACGAAAGACTAAAGAACAAGGTAAACCTTATTAAATGTTCCAGGTCTAAAAATAACATTCAACAAGACAAACCTATTTTCTGCACCAACTCAAACAAAGTCATCATATAGAGAGCAACAAACTCAAGCAAGAAAGCTAAGATAATAACAAAAACTTTAAAAGCATTCATCTATTAATCTTATCCATGACACAAAATTTTACCACATGGTGACCTAAAAACGGATCAAAAATAAGAGAGAAAATAATGCTCTTACTTGCACTTTTTAGTTCTTTAAGTTGTCTACAAGAAAAATTCATCACCACAAAATTTCTAGGTAAAAATGCTTAAACTAGAAACAATTAAATAAAAAAGACATGTCACATTTATATACCTTTCATGAGAGGATATATAAGCCACACATCCACCTTTTGCGTCTTCTTGGCAAACAGATGCCTCCTTCAAACGATTCTTGATAAAAAGCACCACGTCCTCATGAGTTTTAAGTCGTAGAAAATTAGCCTGACAAAGCAAAGATCCTCTAAAGTTCAACAACCCAAAGAAATTAGGTAACACCATCTCCATTGGGAATAAGAATTGGTTGAACACGAAAAATAAAGTTGTCCAACATTGGAACCAAGCTTAGAAGAACAGACTCAACAACACTCTACACAAAAGTAAACTAACCTTAGTCTACTATTATTACATTATACAGAGACAAAATAATTAGTCGATTCGTACTTCTGCGTAGAGACTCAGAATACAAGGGAAAGCATCCTCAACGGGATACTTAAAGATTCTCCCAACTTGTTGGTGAAAAGCAGTTAATAATACAATTTTCTTGCTAGCATCAACAATTCAAAAGTTAAAGAGCATCTTCAATCAATAAAATGAGAACTTAAAAATACAACCAATCTAACCACAAAAATCAGAGACAACAAATATATTTTTATACATACCTAACTGTAGCATAATCTTGCCCAATGCTCAGAGCACAACTAAAGCTCTTCGACTCTCGAATGGTAACCATACCATTACTTGTTTCATAAGTAACGTAAAATACACAATCCTTAATGTTATGAATGTCAGCCTCCATCAAGAATGTGACAGGCTGAACAGGGAAAAGGCAACAACATATTCATACATGTTGAGACCTAAGAAAAAAGGCTTGAAGAATACACCACACAAATATAACGAAACCAAAAACAACATAAGCAAAGACACATATGCTATTGTTGCAAAAGACATCAACCAACAAAACACATTCATGCACAATACGAAAGACTAAACAACAAGGTAAAACTTATTAAACATTCCAGGCCTAAAAACAACATTCAACAAC